GAATAGTCTGAAGAGGGGGCACAGTGGAAGCAGAGAGAACAGTTAGAAACTATTTTTAAAATCCAGGTGAGAGATAATGGTGGCTCGGATGGGGAGGTGACCGTGGAGGTGGGGCCGGGGGGATGGGGGATGTCATTGTAGGCAGGATGTACTTTGAAGATGAAACTATTAGGATGTCCTGATACACGAGGAAGAGGAGAGCCAATCATATATGGAGAGTTTTGCTTGAGCAACTCTCAAGGGGGAAGATGGCGTTGCCATCACTGAGACAAGGAAGACTGTGGGAGAAGTTTTTCTTAGGGGCGAGGGAGCGGAGGAAGGTTGGAGGGTTATATCTCCAGTTTAGTTCTGAAGATATAAAATCTCTGTTAATTCCAGTTTGTCCTTGAATATGTACCAGTTGCTTCTAGTTTTTGAAGGGGAGGATTGGCTGAGGCCAAAAGTAGCATGGAGGGAAGGAGATAAATGCTGAGTGCCCCAAGAGTTTGGAGTGTGGCAAAGCAGCAGCAAAGAGATAAAAGTGTAACCAAAGGAGACACAGTGGGTAGACTGGGCCCAGAGCCTTTTCTGGAGATGCAGGGCAGACCACCTAACACTACACAGGATCTGCCCCCATCTGTCACAGGCTTTCTGCACATTTTCATCAGGAAAGACAGAAGGAAAGTGGTGTCTTAAATGCTCTCTAATGAAATGAGGGGGGGGAATCCATTTGCTTATCGTTAGAATTATTGAGTGAGAACCTGACCCACTTAAATTCACAAAAGTTTAATAGGACAAACATTTCCTCATTTTCACATGTTTACAGTAAGACCAGGCTACAGATGGCCAAGCTCTGCAGTATGTTGACAGTATATCTCCATTTAGCTATGACACCAGCCAAAACAAATGAATAAGCCTCACAGGTTATCTTCTAAGTTATGAAATACTTGGGTGGCACGTTGCGAATGCAAGCGGCTAGATGTTCCTCTGGCAAATAAAGGGGTTTTTTTTGTTTGTTTGTTAGTGGAAATGTCAGAGAATTAGATTATATGTGGGGACATGCAAGATTTCAAAACTGTAACCCCAAAACCAGAAAACAATTTATGGTCAAATTAGGTTAGATTAATTTTGAAAATGAAGAGTAATTCTGAGGAGTCTTAAAAAGACGATATCTGCCAATGAAACCAGCAGGCACTGGAAGATTTCTGCTTAACTTGGCAGAATTCATGGCTGCTCAAGATCTTGGATTTAGTTATTTATTAGAAGCCCTTGTCTTGCTAAGTTATTATAAACTATTATACTTTTACGCTGGATGGTGTCATAGTGGTTAGAAGCCAGAATTGTCTGGTTCTTTAGAGAAAAGAGGCTTACAGGAAATTAGAGCTGCTTATTTTGTTTAATCTCCCAGTCACAATCATAAGAAGGAAAGCTTCACCACTCTAATCTCTCTCTCTGTTTTTAGTTGATATTAGAAAAAAAAAAAAAAGCCTTGTCTTTGAGGTTCAGCAAGTCTGGTTTCAAACCCAGCCACAACTGGGTGAGCTTGGTCAAATTATTTAACCAGTCTCGTCCTTGGTTTTTTATTTTAATCTGTAAACTTTGAATGATGCTAATGCTAAGTGCCATGCAGTATTTTACTTTGAATGAAAGGACTTCATTGCTGAATAATGGACTGAATTAAAACAATAGCTTTTATTTATCATAATAGCTAGACTTTATTAAATGCTTCTGCAAGGTGTCATGATTATGATATTAAAACTCTAACTGAAACCTTATTTAAAACTAAGAAATCAAGGTAACTATGGCCTCATCTAAATGAATAAATGTCTAAATTTAACTTCAAAATTTTAAGATGTTTTAGGGTACAAAATATAAGTTCCTGTTCAAGTGTAAGAATGTTCAAGTTGGTATCATTTTATTTAGAAAGAGAAAAACAAATATCGTATATTAACGCATATATGTGGAATCTAGAAAAATGGTACAGATGACCTTATTTGCAAAGCAGAAATAGAGACACAGACATAGAGAACAAACATATGGATACCAAAGGGGAAAGGGCTTGGTGGAATGAATTGGGAGATGGGGATTGACATATGTACACTATTAATACTATGTATTAAATAGATAACTAATGAGAACCTGCTGTATAGCACAGGAAACTCTACTCAATGCTCTGTGGTGACCTAAATGGGAAGGAAATCCAAAACAGAGGGAATATATGTATACGTGTAGCTGGTTCACTTTGCTGTATAGTAGAAATGAACAGAACACTGTAAAGCAACTGTACTCCAAAAAAGTTAATTAAAAAATGTTATCTAGAGCTTACAGCGTCCTGGGCACTGTTCCAGTCTTGCCTGCTCCTGACTCTGTGGTCTCAGTGCCAAAACTCATGATCTTGACAAGTAGGTCAAGAATAGCAATGAACAGATCTAATTCCTTGAAGTGACGCCAAACATGGTGGTGAATCTCCCAGCAGAGACAAGACTTTGCATCTCTTCCTCTGAGAGCACATGACTGGTGTCCCTGCAGGTAGGGGTGCCTGTTCAAGAACATTGCCAGCCACAGGGGAGTGGGGAGAGGGGGATGGTACGGTCAACTGGTTCCAAAAACCTACTAGAATTATTCTTTGGCTGTACCTCCTCTCTTGATCTTCCTCACCTGGTGGCAGGATGATTTAGTGGTTAGGAATCTAGCCTTTGGAGCCAACCTGCTTGGGTTCAAATTCTGGTTCCTCCTCTTAGCATAACATGACTTGGACGGTTTGCTTACCCTCTCCGTGTCTCAGTGTCCTTGTCTGTAAAACGGCCATAATAATGGTAGCGCCTGCTTCATTGGGTGGTTATGGGAATGAAGGAGTTAATACATGTGAGTCATTTAGAACTGTATCTGGCACAGAGTGAGTTCCAGAGAAGGCTAGCTTTTGTTGTTGTATTATTGTACGGATCTGGAATTAGTACCTGAATCATTCTGGGATGTGGTGAGTTTTAAAGTAAGTCGAATTTACCCATGATTGAGTCATCCCCGCTATTCCTAGCTAAAAGCAAATCTTGCAGTTAGCATTTGTTTTACGTGGAGCCCAGGAGTTGAGGGTTATGATTTTCCTTGTCATTCCCCTTAAGGCAGCCTTCGTACTCAAAACTTCCCTCTAAGGGCTTCCCTGGTGGCGCAGTGGTTGAGAGTCCGCCTGCCGATGCAGGGATACGGGTTCGTGCCCCGGTCTGGGAAGATCCCACATGCCGCGGAGCGGCTGGGCCCGTGAGCCATGGCCGCTGAGCCTGCGCGTCCGGAGTCTGTGCTCCGCAACGGGAGAGGCCACAGCAGTGAGAGGCCCGCATACAGCAAAAAAAAAACAAACAAAAAAACTTCCCTCTATTTCTCTGAACTCCTTAGAAAAACTTCTTTTTTCCCATCCAAGAGCCCTGTAGGGACTTAAATCTGAGGATATGGAATCTGTTTTTGGATGAGACTGTGTCAATTCTGGACCCTAAACAGAACATTTGCAAGATCCCGTAAAGTCCTGTTTACTTCTCATCGCTTGCCCCCATTTTGCTTTTGAAACTCTCTGCACCAAAGCTGCTGTCACTGGCCGCGCCTTCCTAACCAGTGTCTCTGCCAAACGAAGTGTCCAAGGAGTATCTGGAAGAGCAGTCTCAAGGGCCCCAAGGTTTCCAGTTCATTTGGAACTCGGTGTAATAATGTCAGCGTGATAAACAACAAGCATTAGCTTGAGTAACTGATGCTAAAACAGGGAGATGATTTGATTACTTTTTCTAAAGGATTATTCAGTGTTGTCCTTACATTTAAATATGTATGTACCAAGGTCAGAGTTCTTGGTACATGAGGTACCAGCACTTTTGAACAAGTCATGAATTTTGGCTAGAAATCAAATTTCAAGGTGGGTGGAGTGGTGAGTTGAAGGATGTCTTTGAGTATCTCCCCTTTAAAATAAAAGAGAGAGTGCATGTGAGTAGTCTGCAAGGAACGGGCTACAAGATCTGGGAACTATTCGCAGCTCAGTCATTCACTTGAAATTCATTTCTCCTGCCCTTCAGTTTGGGTAAGCATCAATTACTTATCTAAAATCTGTAGTGAAAACTTTTCCTGACACGTAATAAGGAAAGTATCAACAATTCATGTTTAGAGGAAATGTGTTTTCTTAAAATATATTAAGCGTTGTTGTATTCATTCTGTATTTGTCAGTTTCTGTATTGGTGCCATCTCTCCCCTAACTTTTTAAGAAAAAAATCATATGGTTAAGTTACCCTTTTGCTGAAAGAAAAAGTATGTCATTATTTTTCACAGACCTTCAACTCTTCTTAGAAAGCTTTTGGCGAATCTTGGGGATAAGCAGGGGCAGGGACACATTTCTGAGGGTTTGGTATAGTGTCTAGGGCAACTATTTGATGACTGTTTTACCCATCTCTTTCCTATATTCCTTAGTTGCTTTGGGATGACCGTTTGCCTGTGTGCTTGAGGGCAGGCGGGAGTCGTGTGTGTACACACAGCTGCCAGCCTGTGTGGATGTCTGGGTTTCATATCTGCATTTATAATATTGTATTTTCTAAGGTCTGTTGAATTTTATAATTTTCTTTTTTTCAAAAATAGAAACCCATTTTCTTTCCTCTTAATTTAGCTTCGGTACATTCTCACGAGACAGTGATATAGCATGGCTGTTGTAAGCCCCGCGTGGTCCAAAAGTCCAGTAGGAATAAATGTAATGATACGTGTCTGAAGTCTGCTCCTATACATATTTATACATATTAAAGATCTGTTCATGAATAATTTTCCTGGGCGGTATTGAGCAAGTAAAAATCATGGCTGTAAATATTTTGCTTGTGATTTTGTATGACTTATTTTTTGGTATCTTTTTGTCAGAGATACTGACAATCCTTTCCAACTATAAATCTTAGGGAATACCATCAACCCCCTAGAGGGGAGCTTCACCATCGTATGTCACAGATTTGACTTGAATCATGTTGAGAATCGGTTACCAACACTTGCTCTAGATTGAGAAACTGAAAATGAGACTTTGGGTCTTGGTAATTCCAACACTTCTCATACCTTCCACATCAGCTACATTTAGTAAGTATTGCTTTTGAACTGACATTTAAAATTTTTTTAATTAAGTAATTCCGAGAACATTTGCCTAGTTTTAAATTGCCTGCTTCCACTTGCTCTAGCTGAATGGTAACCTAGAAAATTCATTTATGCTCTACAGTCATTCTTCATCACCAACCTATCAGGACACATATATATATATATGTCCATAACAAATATCGCATAATTTTAATTTTACATATTCAAATACGTCAAAATTAAATACGGTGCCTGCACGTAGAAGGTATTGACAGCGTTTGTTGACTGGCAACACGCTTTGTGTAGATGACATGGCTGCTCCAAATTAAGTCACTAATCTGTGTATCCATTAGCTCTAAATTAAGTCACTAATCTGTGTATCCATTAGAATATTTCATAAAAGATCTTAGATCATTTACTTATGCTTTCTCAAAGTGTGACCGGTTTCTAAATTTAATCCTAGAAGGGGATATTTAGAATACAGAAATTGTAAAATCCTTTTTATATGATCACTTCGGGATGATATTTATACATATTTTTTATTTGCAGGCAAATCATCTTGGGGCCTGGAAAATGAGGCTTTAATTGTGAGATGTCCCAGACAAGAAAAATCCCGATACCCTGTGGTCTGGTATTACTCAAAAACCAACAAACGTATTACCACCCAGAGAAGTCGTGTTGTTGCCTCAGGGGAACGTCTTAAGTTTCTCCCAGCCAAAGTCAACGATTCCGGATTTTATACTTGCATTATCAGAAGGTATTATCCAGTCCTGTTCCTTTGTCTTTAAGAGTTGATAGTCTGAGCTGCCTCACTTCCCTTCTCTTTCTAGACCTCTGTGCAGCCGTTGAATTTATAAAGTGATTGGAATAAAAGAGCACCTGAGGAACACCGTGAGGTTGGGCTTTAGGTGATGGTGAACTCTCTGGATGTATAATGACAGGGCTTAATTTGTAGCCCAGTTAGAAAAAGACCTAGCTTTCCTAGTGACCAGGAAAACTGAGAGCAGTCGCTCACGTTGGGCTCCAAATCAGAACAAACCAGCAGCCTAGATGTGGGGTGTCGGGAGGCTTACGATGGGTGTAAAAGGGGGGTCATCTGTGCCTCCCACGTGAGGGGCAAACCCAAGAAGTCCACCTGAGTCTGGGGGCCCACAAGTCCCTTACTCTACATGTAAATTGCCAACTCTTGTGATTTTGTGCCTGTTCGGTACGTGCAAGATGTCAGATGAACTAAGTCAAAAGGCAAGATGGGTACAGTTAGGTGCCTAGGTTCTGAGCTCAGACAGCGTTAGTTTCAAAGTCACGGGTGTGTCACTAGTTAGCTGTGCATTGCTGGTAAGTTACTTCTCCATCCTTGTTTCCTCATCTGTAAAATACACGTGATAGTGGAACCCACTTCAAAGCGTGGCTATGAGAATAAAATGAATGATACACAGTAAACTCTTAATAAATACTAATTATCTTTATTATATCAGGTCTCGGTGTTACAGCACATGCAGTGTATAAAGATATGGTGAGGGAATCATTTACAAGGCTACCGTAGGGGTCGCGTTTTACCTAAAATGTAACAAAAAGCATTTAAAACTCTAGACTTTAATGATTATTTTAGAAGAAGAACCACTATCTGTCAATTGTTTTAGGAAGAAAACCAATATTAAGTAAAAGTTAGAGCTGGGTTATGTTATTTCATAATGCTAAGTGACTTTTTAAAAATTGTTTGATTTATTTTAATAGTCCTACCTCCAGTAAGACTGGATATGTGAATGTCACCATTTATAAAAAACAACCAGGTTGTGATATTCCAGACTTTCTGATATATTCAACAACATCTGGATCAGAAAGAAATTCCAAAATATATTGTCCTACAATTGACCTCTACAATTGGACAGCGCCTGTGGAGTGGTTTAAGGTAAAAGGAAACTGTGCAGGAAATAGCTGAAAATTACGCCATCAAAATAGGTGGAAGTAAAGAATTACTGAAAGCGAACTGGAACTTTTCATTTCAGAATTGTGAAGTTCTTCAAGGACCCAGGTACCGAGCACACAAGTCATTTTTGCTGATTGACAATGCAAACGGCAAGGACGCTGGTGATTATACATGTAAATTTATGCACAATGAAAATGGAGTCAATTATACTGTGACTGCAACCAGGTCATTCACAGTTATTGGTAAGCTACTGAATGTAACAAAATGCAATACTTGAAAAAAGATAACGTGACAGAAATTGTGTCCTTCTTGTTGATTTGCCGGTACCTCATGCTCCTCCCCAAATTTCCTCCTGACTCATCTTACGTGTATTCTCTAATGTGACGCAAACAGATTTTCTAAGTGCACTATCAAGATTTAAGACTTTTTGGAGGGAAATTACGCTGCTAATCCAAAGCCACATCTGTTCTCTCCTCTATGGCTTAATTTTTCAAAGATAATGTGATCTGAATGCTAACCTAACCTTGTTTTGAGTGGCAATACAACTATTTGGAGAGCAAGATTAACTCTTTGTCTCCCAGTTTGTTGTCAGAGGTTCTGTAAATAGAGGAAAATCTATTTCATCTCTAACATAACTAGCCGGTTAGAAGTTGAGTGAGAAGCTTTATAAAGAGATACATAGATATTGTTTGCTGATTTTCAATCTTGATTTGCAATGCTTTCGTAATCATCCAGGACCTTAAGTAGGTCATTTAATTCTACCTTTTTTTTTTTCAAAATTACTTTAAATTCTATAAAAGTCCATCAGGGGTGAGACTTCACAGGCAAGCCTGTTAAATCTACAAAGAGTTGGGGTCTCCTTAGCAGAGCTTGATCTATGGGTATAGATGAAGCAGGACCTGTATGTGTGGCAGATTCCTCAGGGCAGAGCAGTAGTGGAGGAGTTTTGGTTTGTCGTTTTCCAGTGGCCCCACCGCTGTAAAATAAGCATCGCTGGACCGCATTCGTGTTAGGACCTCTCAGTGTTCAACATCAAGACCTGCAGGGGTCCTTAATCACACCATCCCGAAATAACGGAGAACCAAGGGTTGCATGAATTCAGCCGTGCATTCACCGTGTCTATAGGCGTCAGTGCCACAGGAATTTGAACTTCCTGATAGGGTGGGCCACACGGGTGGAAAGCTGTGAGCAGAAGTGTGGACTTATCACTTCAGGAGTCGTTTGAACTCTTCCCTGTAGCGTTCGTTATGCGTTTTCCCACAGAATCCTCGTTTTCTGACAACTGCTACGTCATGCAATTAATTTAATGCTCCGGATGGCATTTGTTTTAATGATAAAAAGAGAAGAGAAAATATCAAAAAACATCATAGGTAGTAAGAGAACGTATTGCTTGAATGTTTTTGTTTCGTGTGTGTGTGTGTGTGTGCGTGTGTGTGTGTGCGTGTGTGTGTATGCATGTGTATTTGTTGCCATGGGTCACAACGAGAAAAATCTGAGAAACGTCACTGTGAAAAAGGACAGAAATACGAAAATACAAGCTTTATATTGATGACCGCCCAATGCTTGCCTCATATTTATATTTATATATTTACATATTTATATTTAATCACATATTTATATTCAATATTTACATATTTATATATATTTACATATTTATATTTATATTCTCATTGATTTCAGATAAGCAAAGCTTTTCTTTGCTTCCAGTAATTATAGCCCCTCCACAGAATGAAACAAAGGAAGTGGAAATTGGTAAGAAAACTTTAAGAATACTGTAAATGTTTTGTCTGGAAAATCTTTCCATGTGACCCCTGTTCTGAATTCCCCAAGCAGGGGTCAGGCTATTACCATAGCAGATCTTGAGGGTTAAATGAGATGCATATTTGGAAACACCCACCTTGGGCCCTTGCTAATATTAGGAATGTGTGGTCACAGCAACGTACAGCCCTTACATTTGTACTGCACTTAGCTCTATTTTACTTATTTATTTTGGTGCTTTCATGTGTGCTACCTCAGTTCCCTCTCAGTTCTATCCAACTGTCCAAGGAGGTGGATATCGTCCCCACTTCATGCTTGTGGATGCTTAGGCTTAGAGAGGCTCCATGACATACCCAAGGACGTGGCGTGAATAAATGGCGACGGAGCAGAGCCCAGATTGTACGCCTCTGTCCGTCTCTGCTTTTCCTGGTTCCCTGAGGGAATGGGGTCAAAATCAACGTTCTTAGCACGTAAAGCAAAACACACCGACTGCCTCAGAGCTGCTCTACTGCTTTGCAGGGTTTCCACGTTCCTCCCTGCTTTCGTCCATGCCATCCTTCCCATCCCTCGACACAAAGCTCAAGTACCCCCTCCTCTGTGAAATCCCCCTGCCCGCCTCCTTACGTGCCAGGGAGCACGATCAGAGCCAGCATGCGGCTCTGACCCAGGGCCACCAGCACCAGCCCTGCCCCCTGCCCTCATGTCTCCCTCTGTATTCCCGTGCCACTTGTCTATCTTTCTGTTAAAACACTAGAATACCGTGTGTTCTGATCGTTTGCTTATACCGTTGTCACCTCCCTGGAGACTCTAAGTTCCTCATCCCTGTTCAGATGCTTAATTCTTGACACGGGGATGAAGAACTCAGTAAAGGATGTCTGAGTGCCCAACCCAAGGCAGGAATCAGCCCTTAGGCTTTTAGTTCTGAAAGGAGGAAATCTCAAATTAACAGGAGCGGGAGTGGAGAGGCTCTTGTTGGACGATTAAGCAGTGGGATTGTGGCTGATTCAGGTGAAACGGTTTTACCGACAAACGACAACGTAGCTTACAGAGAGATGAAGGGAATTCCATAGGAGAAGAAAGGAGTGGAAGACATCCAAGGAAGAGGGGATATACATATATACGTGTGGCTGATTCACTTTGCTGTACAGCAGAAACTAACACAACATTGTAAAGCAGCTCTACTCCAATTAAAAAAAAAAAAAAGGAAAAGAAATGGCAATGCGTAGTAAGGGGAAATCTTAGATTATAACGTGGCATTGGTGAAGCCTTTATAGTTTCCGCTGCAGGGGAGGCGGGGAGGGGCCTGAGCTTCAGCCTGAACTGTGAGTGGGATGAAAACGATGGGAGACGGAGAAGGTGGCAAAGTGAGGGCAGAGAAGGAGGAAGGTGCTGAAGATGAGGAGAGGAAATGGGAATCAATTCATGACACACATTAGACGATCAATGACTTTTTTTCACATGCAGTTAAATTAAGTCCTCTCTGCAGAACTGACTTTTATTGGTGAATCTCTTTCCTTCTCATCTAGGAAAACCAGCAAACCTAAGTTGCTCTGCTTGCTTTGGGAAAGGCTCTCAGACCATGGCTGACATCCTGTGGCAGGTTAATAGAAGCAACGTTGAGAACGTCGGTGAAGCAAGAATACAAGTGTTGCAAGAGCAAACTCAAAGGTATTTTGCAGTCTCAGTTAAAGCATCCCCTTCCCTTCCCACACTGTTTGCAACTGGAAAATAAGCACTGAAAGTAACAGGTTGTCTTAATAGTTCTCGCAGCGAGCTGACTTGCCTAAGCGCCGTGTTAAGAATAGCGGATGTAAAAGAAGAGGAGTTATCACTGAAGTATGACTGTCTGGCCATGAATTTCCATGGCCTGGTCACGCACACCGTAAGACTAAGGAGGAAAAATCCAGGTAAGCCATGTTTCTGAGACTTGGGTCACCTGAGTTTGCTGTTAACAACTGTAAGCTGAATCATATTCTTAGAGAACAGTGTATTGGAGTGTGGCTCCAGGGGAATCCATCAAGACAGAGTGGTCCATCTCATAAATTGGAGGCAGGTGGAGAAAAGATCTGTCTTGGGTGTAGGCAACAGGAGGACACATTGTGTGTAGAGAATTCAAGACAAAAACGAAGCCACGCCACATTCACTGTGCTTTCCATCCTCAGCATGTCCAGACGTTAAATGAATCCGTGAGGACGCGCCCCTCCTCTCGGGTGCAAAGGCATCTTGCTTCCACTCCCTCCGTATATCACTGCACACACAATGATGGCAGAAAAGTAGTTTTACAAACATTTCCTCCCTGACCACCTGTCAGTTTCCTCACTTGTTTGCATGTCCAGATAAAGACACCCCATTGGTTAGATGTAGCATTTAATCCGGTGTAATGAAGGGTGGGGAGAAAATTTTGATATTTTTACTTGTCACTCCATGTACCACTATGTAGAAATTATTTAATGTGTTTGTCACATAGTCATAGGGAGAGGTAAACTCCCAGTTTATACCCCTAAGTGGGGTATAGTCCAGATTAATTTGGATAAACCCACAAAGGCACAACATGATTGGGAGAGATGAGAAAACAGACCACCAGTCAGATAGGGTCTTTTAGTCTCTGCCCGAGGGGGTGCTTGGGATTCTTCTTGTTTGAATTCAACTTTAACCACCGATTTGCAAGCTGTTATAAAACAAACGGAATCATGACTACTGTAGACGATTTTAAATGCTATCATGTTCCATTGGGTCATCAGGATTCTGCCAGTTATAACTGTGTCACCCCAGGACATGTGGACCCTGTTGAGATGTCATTTTAGGGTGACATTTGTGGTTCTGGTGGGCACGGAAGATCCCGCAAGAAAGAGGAAGCTACCTCCACCCCTAGCACTGCCATGGTGTCCTTATCCCCATGCTTTTCTCACATTGTCATTATATGAACCTTCTCCGGGTGCCTGTGTATTGGAATTGTTTTCACGTTGCATGTACTTGGTGATTTTGTTCCTTCTAATTCATCTGTGTATGCTACCTTTCACCTGTGTTTCTTCAAAGCAACACAATTATACTCTGTCTCAACAACTATGTCGATTAAACAAAAATTGTTACAACTGCTCTCAATGGTCACAATGAATTCCCTTATTTCTAATCATACAATAAAAGAAATTACACATTGTCCTGAATTTTAAAAACAAAAACTAAAAATCTTGTGTCCCCATATTATTAAATATCATTAAACATTTGATACTACTGCTATTAATAATAATAGTACACATTTACTCATTGTTCCCTAGGTACCAGGACCTGTCATTATTTCCCATATAATTTTTCATTTATTTTGTCAAAAATCCACGATGAAGAGACTGTTACCATCATCTAGTCTTATAGATGAGGAAACTGAGGCAAAGAGAGGTTGAATAATTGGCCAGGCTACAGTTACAGAGCCAGGATTCAAAGGCAAGCAGTGTTTCCTGTTTATAAGCTCTTACAGGAAGTATTCAGTGTTTAGTCAACACGTACAAGGATTACTTATACATTTATAAAATAACTAACATTTAGGAAGATAACTGAACTTCAACTTGCCTTAAGGTCTTGGATTAACTTCTTTCTTCTAGTTAGCCAGTCACGTGCGTAACTAGTTCACAAGAAATAGGGATTCCCGGCATGCATCCAGATAGGATTTTTAGAAAGAGTGACCTGGAAAGGAATCCTGTTGAAATAATTCACTCAGGGAGTATTTGTCATTTAAACTGATGACAGTGCAGACGCTAGGCTCACTCACAATTTTCAGTTTTGGATCGGTTCACCTTGGTCATTTTTGTTTTAATTAAAACAATTTTTTTGACCATGCCATGCAGCACGTGGGATCTTAGTTCCCCGACCAGAAATCGAACCCGCACCCCACTGCAGTGGAAGCTCCGAGTCCTAACCTCTGGACTGCCAGGAAAGTCCCCACCTTGGTCATTCTTGGTTTCATAGTGTGGATACTCAGGGAGCTGATGAACTAATGAAGCGATTTGCAAATACAGACCAGGGATTTTCTATGGCAAAACTGGGAGCCTGTGTTTTGAGATCAGATGAAAATGAAAAGGGAGCTATCTAGCCAAATCTCATTTGAGAGTCTTTTCACATTTATCTTTAAGTGGGACTATTTGTAAGATGGGATAGTTAACGATTCTAAGGAGGGAAGTAAACTTAAAACAGCCAAAAATACTATTGATGAGCACAGTTCTTACATTCATTTTATATATATCTGATTCAATAAATACGGGGACCATCTTGCATATATACGTTATGAAGCAATGAGTAAGGTTAAAAGTTCAGTGATGGCTAAATAATGTTCATCAGAAGGGAAATACAGGGCATATTTAGGACCTAAAACCCAGTCATTTGACTTCATCAAATACACATTAGAGACTTAGGTAGCTCTTGTTTCTTCCCTGCTTTCCTATGCCACTAACCCCAGACGCAATAAGTCCCCAAGACCTGTTGATTCTTTGTCCTTAACGCCGCCAACGCCAGGTTTGTCCATTCCTTTCTCATTATTACATGAATCTGGCCCCTACTGCAGAAACTTCTCGTCCCATTCGACTCGGAGAACCTGTGGGTCTTAGAAACAAAACTTTCACTACCATCAGATTAATCTTGCTTGAAAACCACTTTCACTATTAACGAACCACTCAGCACTCTTCAATGGCTCTCATGACCAGAATAGAGACAAAACGCTTTAGCTGGAGCCTCAAATCTGATCAGAGCCTAGCCCTAGACCCACCATTCCAATCATATGTTCCAGTAATTCCCCAAACTGGATCATCCCCCTTCCTCAGAAAACACACTCCCATCTCTGCCCTTGAGCTCACAGCATCCTCTCTTGCCAGGAATACATTTTTTTTTTGCAGCTATCTAAATCTTACTCATCCTCCAGGGACCTTATTCTGTAAGAAGTCTTCACTGCCCAATCCAGCATGGAGTGAGCACACCTTCCTAAAACCTCTGCTAGCTAAAACTAATGCTTTCACTTCCAATCTTAGCTAAGTTTACATGTGTCTTTCTCTTACGCTTTGAAAATCCCCTACAATGCCTAGCCTGGTGCCTTGCACAGAGTAGGGGCTCACTAAATATTAATTTACTGATTCTTAAAACAGCCATGGAAATGCCATGCCTTGTATAAATCTCTCATCCCAGTGGAAGCCAGCATCCACGTATTTGTTTATTTTCTCCTGTTTTAGGAATAATAATGATCATTTTTCTCCTGCCCCTATCTTTTGAATAGTGGATCAACAAAGCACCTACTACATGCTTGCAGGATTTAGTGTATTATTCTTGCTAATCAATGTCTTGGTGGTAATTCTAAAAGCATTCTGGATTGAGATAATTCTGCTCTGGAGAGACATAGCTAGACCTCACAAAACTAGGAACGGTAAGTGGCAAGTTTCAAGTGTTCTTCAAAAGAAAAAGGTTCTATAAGGGCTGTTGGTTGTTTATCGAATAATCTCTTAATAGTTATGCTACTTAACACAGATTCCCTTTTGCTTGCTAGCATATTATCAATAAACCTTTTTGAGTCCACTCAGAGGACACTCTCCACCCTGCCTTGTCACTCCTCGTGGTTCTGAGATTCATCTCAACAGCTCCAATTTTCTCCCCCATAGAATTGCTGTTCTTACTAAATCCCCAGTAGCAGAATCTGCTCCAAGCCCAGAAAGGGCATTTTGGAAAATGGGAAAACTTTATGGAAGTCAAAACATTAACAAAATTGTTCCTGTTTTCCAGATGTGAACAGGTTAGAAAGGTCCATCAGAATGCAATGTATTTTACCAGAAACGCTGTTCCATAAAGAGTCTTACCTACCTACAGATGTACACCCATGAATGAAGACAGTGCCGCCTGCTAAATATGAACACCGTTCTTTCACTTGGAGGCAGATAAAATTTAGATTTTCCATATGGGTCACTCAACTAGAGCTAATTATTTGATTTGTGGGAAATTCAGATCCCTTAAAAACGTCTGCTCTTTAGCCACCGTTAATTACCCTTTAGCATTTTCACGTCCCCATGGGGAAAACAAAAGCTAAAATTGAGATCTGCTCAGCATAGCAGAAAGCCCCTTAGCCATGGGTATAAATACTTATTAACAGATTATTAATCAAACTTGACAATATGGTTTGAACTAAACTAGTCAGGCTCTTGCCTGTTTACTATCATTCAGTCTGAGACAGTAAAAAGGAGGACTTTGGGACTAAGATTGGTTTCCTGATAACATTTTGTGGCAGTAGATTGTTGTCATGGTCTCTGGATTCTAGATTATTTGGGGCGATGAGATACATTCACCAACAGCCATAAAACTCCCTGAAGAATGTCTACTAAGAGTCCAATGAGAATTTTTGAGGACCAAGTAATAACACTGTGTTCTTTGTTCTCATCTTCAGATGGGAAGACCTATGATGCTTATGTGATCTATCCACGGAACTGTAAAAACAGTCCAGAGGGGCCCAGCTCTGTGGACTACTTTGTTCACCAGATTCTGCCTGACGTTCTTGAAAATAAATGTGGCTACGACTTATACATTTACGGGAGAGATCTGCTCCCTGGAGAAGGTAAAACTGTCAACAACCATCAGGGACAGAAATTCACATTCATCAGAAGGATAAGTAAGTAGTAGGTGGTCTTATCCCTGCCATCATCAGGAGCTGCAATTATTATTCCAGGTCATAAGACTAGAGCTTTTAAATATTTCTCTAGAAGGAGGAGGTACTTACTCTTTGCTTCTCCTGCCCCCATCACCACCCTGATCCTGAGGTCTTCACAGTCGTGTCAGTGATATGAAGACAGGATAAGGCATCCTTGCTTGTGGATTTAGCAGGGTCCAGCCCCTACTTCATTCCCCATGTCCACCACTAGGATAACTGACATCTCTGAAGTCCCTCTAGCAGATTTGAAGGAG